TAGGTAGTAGAAAAAGAAGTGTTTTTAATTTACTATTTTCACTGAAGTAAATACATAGTGGTTGATTCACTTATCTTCACTAAACAGTTTTAAATATTTACAATTTTAGTTCATCACAATTTGATTAACTAATACAGTGGATTTTTTAGTTACCAACTTGAAAACATTTGTTTGTAGATTTTCTTATGCCATAATAATTGTAGAAGATATAACTTGCACCAGAAAATAAACTGCATTAAACGCTTGTAAAAATGTAGAAAGTAACGTGCCGTCGCCGGCAGAAAGCACTTGAACGTTCGGAGAGCAAACAACTGTGAGCGATGATGGCAAAAAGACAACTGATTCTTTGGTGGCACTAAGACAACTACTGAATGATGGCAAACATACAACTGTACTCCTCGCGTCGAGCTCACCCAAATATATACTGTTGGGACGCAATGAGTGTCCGGTGCATAGTTCACGCACCTATTCGGTTTCAACCAATGAAAACATCATGACATAATGAAATACGTCATTTGTGCTTCGTTAACTATGCGCCGGACACTCATTTTGTTCCAATGCACAGCTGTGCACTTAAAAACACAGGTGTTCGACGTTCGGTATTCTGAGATAAATGCTATTTATAGTTTTATGACTTCACATTATATTAGGGTAAGAAGCAGTCGAACTATTTGAGAATTGTTTATTTATTTAGTAGGTGTAAAATATTAATTTGTTGATGTTTTTACTGGTGAAATTGTAGAATTTAACCAGGAGTATTGAATTGCAGGAGAATAAGAATAAGGGTCAATGTCATTGTCTACTTGTATGTGGTATAAATTTTGATTATGGTGATAGTCGTATTGATTTTCATATTGTTCAAATTGTTGATACTGATACGGATTTTCAAATTGTTGAGAGTTGTATGAATTTTCAAATTGTTGATTTTGATAAGGGCAGTTATTATTTTGATTAAAAAGTTCTGTAGAAGTAAATTGTTGTTTTGGATGAATTCTAGTATTACCTGAAGATGTATCCATAGGTTCAGGTTTGGAATTTTGAGAATAATTTTGATTATTAATTTGTGGCTGATTAAAAGTACGGGGTTTCATTTGATTATTGTTTTGATTTTGGAAAAATGGGTGACGTTGGGTAGGGAAATTGTTATTTGGTTTCCAATTGTAAGAATTATTTACTGGGAAATTGGGTCTAAATTGAGAATGATTTAGAAAAGGTGCTCTTGGCATAAAATTTGGTTGAAATGTAGGACGAGGCAATTGTGGAAGTGGTTGATGAGAATTTAAATTACTAAAATTTGGGTTAAATGTTGAATGGGCTCTATAATTTGGATTTATGGCAGGTGTGATTCTTAAATTGGGTTTAAATGATGAATTTTAATTTATATTATTTGATTTTTGAGTGGAATATAAGAAATTTTCTTCTTCTATAACTAAACTCATAGCTTTTTCTAAACTATCAGGTACTCTTAATCTATCGTTTGTTTGAATAGGTAATGGTAGTCCTCGAATATATGTTTTTAGTGCCAAATCATCATAGTTTGAAAGTCTGATTGCGCGTTCATTATCATGTAAATTTAAAGAATTTAATTTTGAAATAATAAGACTCCTGGAATCTTGACATCTCATGCCAAAATTATAGGGGCTTTCATTTTTTAAAGGACGCAAATTTATTAAATCTATGTTACGTTGATCTCCAAAACTGAGGTTTAATGAGTTTTTAACATCAACCCATGTTTTAAGCTCTGTTCGGGAACCAATTAATCTTTGGGCTCTCCTTGAGAGTTTACCAATTATGGCTTTTAATAAAAATGAATTTAAAGCAAGATTATTTGGACTGGCAAAAACTGATATCAAACTTTCACAATTTTCGATAAAAATACTTAAAATATGAGGATTACCATCGAATGAAGGAATTGAATCTAAATATAATCTAAGCATTTGATAATCTACTGGAGGGGGACTCATTTCTAAATTATTTTCTAAATTATCTGAATTCTTTTCTAAATTATACGAATTATTTTCTAAAGAACTTAAATTAAAGCTTGTTTGAAACAAGTTAACTAAATCGAAAATTTCGTGTTCACTCATAAAATAGATCAAACACTATTAATAATAATAATAATAACTACTATAAGTAAAATTAAAAGGAATTAAAAGGAAATAAAAGGAATGAGCACTTACAATATAATGAAGATTTTCATTCTTCTTATCTGCTAAGGGTTTGGACGATGTGTGTTCCTCTCCCAGGTGTAGAATTCGTTTTCGTCTTCTTCAAAGTACACTCAATGTTCGATCAACTGCAACTGTCTGTTCGCGACCCGATATTCTTTCGAATAGAAAACAGAAAAATCCGATATACTTTCGAATTTATAGCTGACAGTATCACAATGTTCGTTATTTTGGTTAATCGTTAATACGAAAAATTGCCCGTGCGATACGTTCAATTTTCAAAATATTCTACTCACAGACTGCGCCAATTAAGTGTGAGCACTTCGAAAAAGACTTTTTAAAAAACAAAAATTTAAATGAAACCTTTATTAACAGAAAGCTAACAATGATCTGATCTTTTTTTATTCTGACTTATATTTATAATTTTAGTCCAGAGTGCAACGTAAAAACTATTCTTGTATTAGTCGGCGGGATTGTTTCCATAACTTGCGACTCCATTTTTAGTCCAATGTTCGAAGCACATTTTTTTTAATCACGCTTTTTGTAGTTTTTATGCACTATTTTACAACGCCAATTCACTATCCGGACCGAAGGACCAAAATAATGTGGGGTACATTATCTGAGTTAATAACTAGTGGACTGTAACTGATAGGGCTTCGCTGGTAGGTCCTGAAATGGCGTGTAAAACTGAAATGATGCACTTTACTACTAATCACTTTTATTTACAACACAAAAACTATTTTACATTATTTACAGTAGGGTTGAAGATATGGCCATAAGCCAGACTTGGGGAAGATGCCCAGAAGGCAGAGCTTTATAATGAAATATAATAAATAATGCATTAGAAATGCAATTTGTAAATGGCTGCTGCTGTACAACAGCTAACTGCTCAAGGTTAAGACATTAACATAATTTTTTATTTGCAGATTTCCATTCTTCTAAATCAAGATCGAAACATATCGACGGTCATTTTAGGAAAGACTTCGTGATTTGTGAATTTTGTGGAAAATTCATGACAAAAATGAATTTTTCTTGGCACCAATTTATTCATGTAGTAAAAAATAGATCAAGAAAAGTTTCTCTGAAAATCAATGACGTTTCCAGCATACAGACACATTTAATAATTCTCAGTAATGTAAAACCATTTAAATGTGATGTTTGTTTCAAAGAATTTAATTTAAAATCTAACTTACAAAAACATTTAATAATTCATATCAATGAAAAACCACTTAAATGTGACATTTGTTCGAAAGGATATAGTTACAAATCTAGCTTACAAAAACATTTAATAATTCACAGCAATGAAAAACCATTTAAATGTGACATTTGTTCAAAAGGATTTAAACACAAATCTAGGTTACAACAACATTTAATAAATCACAGTAATAAAAAACCATTTAAATGTGACATTTGTTCGAAAATATTTAATCGAAAATTTAACTTAAAATATCATTTAATAATTCACAGCAATGAAAAACCATTTAAATGTGATGTTTGTTTCAAAGAATTTAATTTAAAATCTTACTTACAAAAACATTTAATAATTCATATCAATGAAAAACCATTTAAATGTGACATTTGTTCCAAAGGATTTAATTACAAATCCAATTTACAACAACATTTAATAATTCACGGCAATGAAAAACCATTTAAATGTGACATTTGTTCAAAAGGATTTAATCACAAATCTAGCTTACAACAACATTTAATAATTCACAGCAATGAAGAACCATTTAAATGTGACATTTGTTCAAAATAATTTTATCTCAAATCTAGCCTACAACAACATCTATTAAATCACAGTAATAAAAAACAATTTAAATGTGACATTTGTTCGAAAGGATATAATAAAAAATATACTTTACGAAAACATTTAATAATTCACAGCAATGAAAAACCATTTAAATGTGAGATTTGTTCAAAAGAATTTAATGAAAAATGTAGCTTACAACGACATTTAATAAATCACAGTAATAAGAAACCATTTAAATGTGACATTTGTTCAAAAGGATTTAATCGAAAATATACCTTACAAGAACATTTAAAAAGTCACAACAATGAAAAATCATTTAAATGTGACATTTGTTCAAAAGGATTTAATCAGAAATCTGGTTTACGGGCACATTTGACAATTCACAATAGTGGAAAACGTTACAAAAAATTAATTAAAAATGTAACTTAATTGTAGTGAAAAACAATTTAAATGTGGATTTGATACAGATCATTCGATTTTTAGTAATTATGCAGATCCACCAAGGTTACTAAATAGTCACTTGCTTTATTTTTCTGTTTTACTTATTTACTAAATTTTATTTTTGTTATCTATTTTGTTTATTTCATATGGTTTTATTTTCTAGTTTGTTTCATTTTTGTTCACAACTTATAATCTCATTATTGCGTACCTATACATATGTCAAAGGGTTAGATGCAAGAGTAGCTCTAGGCTAAATCTCTCCCTAACACTTTGACTGCCAAGCCAGAAACATGACAATTTCCCCCCAGACCAACCGTTTTTTTGTCTTTATACCGGCGTATTTATGTTCGGTTTGAACAATTTTGATAAACTCATTGTATCATTGTATTTTTTCTGTTTTTGGCTTTTTTTTGATTTTGATATTGTCATACATGTGGCCCATCAAGGAAAAATATTGTAATATTTATTCTGTGGGGCCATGTCATATACATATATACTTTTTGTGAAAAATGCCTGGAGCAGCCGCAAATGTGCATGTCGTGTTTCAATTCCAAACATAAAATAAATTTCAGTTTATTTTATGTATTATTATTTTGATTAATTTAGGTTTTCAAGCTTTACAAATTGAAATGTTTTTATCAATTTGGAGTTGTAAGATAGTTTAAGTTTAGTTTTTGAAGAATTTTACATTTTATTTTTCAACCCTAGAAGAATAAATGCGATTCTTCACACTATATATTTTTCTTACTCCTGTATCCAAAATACTTCGATTTTTTTCAGGCCAAGTATACCTGAACATCAAAAACAAAAACCCCATTTATAAAGCATAGACTTTCATACATACGTGAACGACGCAGCCTGCAGTGAAATATCGACCGTCATACATATATGAATGACGCGACCGTAAATAATAGTTACCTGTTATACGACGTGGCAGTTAATGTGTTAAGAGACACATGTAAATATGAAGGTATAAATAAGGTCCCATAAAGCGGGGTTATTCTGGACTGTTTTTCGGACCTTTTTGGATGTACTATAAGAAGTGGCCAAGAATAAATAAGTTTCATATCGAGTTTGGATAGTTCTACATACAAGCTAATATTACTGATGAGTATATGTACTGCACTGTGTAGGTAAACAATTTTATATTTCGGTCGTGAGTTATAGTTACTGTTTTTACTGTTAATTGATTGAAATAATTTCACTTGTAATTACTAAAGTAATTATTAACATCCTAAACAACGGGGTACATGTGCGCAAGCAGATTCATTAGCTCTTCAGCGAGATTTGGTGAGATAAACTAGATTAACCTCAAGAATTCTTTCACACTCTCTTCTTATCACCTTGCTCGAGAACTCATCAGAGGCGTATCAATAATTATTTGGTATTCCTAATTATTTTATTTTAAATATTAAAATGTCTGCTCGCGTAGCTTGTAAATGTTGTAATCAAGTTTCTCATGGTCATTTAATGGATACATGCAGTGTGTGTAAATACAAATTTAAACATACATGTGTTGATATTACTGCCAATGAAGTACGAACCTTAAATATGAATAAATACTATGATTGCACCTGTATCGGTTGTAGAGCTATCGGAAAAGATCTGAAAGATTTAAAATCTCTTATTAAACAACTGCAACAAGAAATTAAGGCATTAAAAGATGAGAAAAACCAGCATACGAAGTCATCTGAGTTTAATTTTGAAGATGTAATGTATGAAATGTCTGAACGACAGAAACGCCGAAACAATATTATGATCTTCAATGTTCCGGAGCCATAAATCCTTAGCAGCACAAATTGAATGCGATACAAATGTTATTATAGACATTCTAAATACCATTGATCTTAAACTGGCAGATACTAACATTAAACCATTTCGATTGGGTTCTTTTTCTAATTCCAGAAATCGTCCTAAGTGCGCTATTCTTGACATCCTTCGCAAATTCACGTATGCGCAGGTTCACGAATGGTATATTCGCGAACGCTTGATAGAGTTGGTATTCTTGACCACCCTTCGCGATCAGAGCCGAGCGTTGGTTTGGTAACAGTGGAATTAGTAACACCGTAGGTGGCTGCATGACTTTAAAATAAAGAAAGAAGTGATCTTTTTGTGAAAGAAGCTTTATATAACCTTCTTTTCTGAAAATCCTCGTCTCGTGTTACAACATTTTTCACTCCTTCATTGTTTATTGACACGTGTTGTTTTATACATTTATCAAGTTCATTGAAATTTTTGTAGTCGTTTAAATTTGTGGTTTAATCGTTTTTATATTAAAATTGAAAGTTTCATGATGGCCGGCAACGATGAAAAAAAAGCATATGTAACATCGGAGCAGAAAAATATGTTACTTGAATATATCGACGGTTAAACGGCAGAAGGCCCTAACCCGCAAATGTTGTTTTTTATAGGAAACTAAAAAACATTTAAATATTTTAATTTATAAAATGAACCTCCAATTCTTTTTTGAGGATATTAGTAGATCTTAGGGGATTTTATAAGCCTTTATAAGCCATTTAATATAGACACGTTTATTTAAACACAATTAAAATGTTGGTTAGGGCTTTTTACATATTCAAAAATTATATACCTTATTACTTTCATGTGGGTTAGGCCCGTGATTAACGTACAATGTCTTGAGTTACAAATAATGAAGCATACCAATTAAGATTTAAACTTTTATTTTTACAATTTTAAAACAATTTTGAACTTATATCTAAAAAGTTTTAAAAATACAAAATAAATACAAAAAACTTAAGGCCACAGTACCACCCCCAATATTCGTAACATGAACTAATTTTGATAGATGTCATTTATATGTCATAAATTAAGAATCCTTTTGTTCAACAGATGGAGCAATATTCCATATTTAATAGTTCTTTTGTTCAACAGATGGCGTAATAATTTTATTAATTTTAAACGGTAATTGTTATAAAATAACAAATTCATCACCCCTAGCCACTACGCGATGATACGTAAACGAGTTCTTGACCTTGCAAATATTTTCGATGTAGCAGGTATAAAAATAATATTTTGGATTACATTCGGAATATCGGTATATTTACTTAGTAGTTCATTCTTGTGTCCAGTCAACAAAGGATAAAGGTCTTCGTATCATTACGTAGGGACCTATTATACCATACATGGTGTTTCGTTAAGAATGGGACATAGAACAACTGACGATTCTCTGAATAAAATAAGATAACTAAACAAATCATGTTTTGATAAAATGTTTCTCGTTTCCGAATTACGGTGTTAAAATCCAAAAAATATTTATGGCTATATTTTTTTATTACTCACAAGAATTTTACTAAATTTGGCAAACGGTTTTGATGTTATAATATCCACCTATCAGCAAAAAATTAGTTACCTGCTTTAATTAACTTTTCCAGAGGCATACAGCATTGGTACGTAATACGGCATCCCTTCTAAATTTTACGTCACTATCCAAAAAGTTATTTAGACATAAAATTTTAAATTTTTTGATGTTTTTCAAATAAATAATGTACTCTTTTTAGAAATTTAATAAAAAAAATCAAAATTTTGGACAGTGGACTAAAATTTAGAAGGGAAAAAGGTGTTACTTGCCCATGAAGTATGCCACTGGCAAATCTTATTTAACTTATTTTTTTTGCTGATAGGTGTATTTTATTACACCAATAACGTTTGCCGAATTTAGTAAAATTAAACTGAATAACAAAAAAAATTGTAGCTGTTTATAATTTTATTTTTGATTTTCGAGTAATGTTTTACCTCGGATGTTTCATTTAATCGGCTTATTTCTGATCAGTTAATCTTCAGTTGCTTCCATTCTTAATGGAATACCCTGTATATACCGAAAGGTCTTGCAGCCAATGAATCAAATAAAAAAAAAAGAAAAATATAATAAAAAAGTGTTTTAATTACCGTATTTACCCACAATACTTTATATAGATCTGCATCAGTAAAAATTATTTTCAACAAATTTAATCTCATTTATATGTAGTATGTTTGTGTAACTTGGCGGCATACGGAAAACTTTTTTAAGAATTTTAAGAAAAAATCTTATTTTTCATAAACAATTGAATGGTCTATTAATTTTAGAAAAAAAGTTACTTTACATAAAAAGTTATGCATGGTCTAAAACCTAAAATTCAAACATCTGATATCAAATTTTATCAGTCGTATATAGGGTTTGTCGAAAATAAATTTTTTGACAAACCTTGTAAAACCGACTGATAAAATTTGATATCGGGTGGTTGCATTTTCTGTTAGACCATGCATACATTTTTATAAAGAATAACTTTTACATAAAATGAATAATAAAAAAAGTTTTCTATATGCTGTCAACTTACATAGACATACTGTGTGTATGCAACTTATGACATATTGCTGAGATAATGTTTTTGTAAGAAAAGAGAAATTAATTATAAAAATTTACTTCATTTGTAGAGTCGTAATTTATGTTTTCATATTAAGTTTTTATTATATTTTTTTTTTATCAATTTAGAATTACAGTACTATTTTCAATTATTAATAAAAATTACGTGTTCATTTTAGATTAATCAATAAGAAAAATAAGCATTTTTGAAATATTAATAACCAAATACACATTAAACAACAAATAAATAAAAAAGCATTTAAAACACGTTGTCTGCCGAAGCAAATGTTGTAGTCGGGTCTGCTGAGCCGAAGTAGTTTTTCTAAAAATTTAAATCTGTTTTTACGTTTTAAGTAGTTTAAGTAAATACTTAGGTAAACTACAATATCTAATAGATGCGCGAATAAAATACATACACGCGACGCGGGATTAAATTATTACAAACATATGTGGCGTGCATACAGTATGTCGCTAATGTATGGAATAAATTCATTATAATGGAAGTAGTTAGTTTTTCGAAAAAATGCTCGGACAAGTCAATTTTGTTTACTCAAAGCGCAATTTTTTAAATAGAATTCAATTTTCCCCCACCTCCCATATTTGGGCAGTGACGTCATTGACAATTTTTTTAAATAGTAACCCCAATTTTTTTTTCTTGATTTTAATAGATCTTGCAATTTTCTACTCGGAAACAATATTTGAAATATCTGACATAATATTTTTTTTTGAATAAAAGTCATTTAAAGATCAGGTACATAAATTTTATTTTATTTTGAAACACAATAAATAAATAAAAGATTATTTGTAATTAAGTGCTTCATCTAAAATAATAATAATAATAAAAATAATAATAATAAAAAGAATTTAATGACAATTTCACAAATTCTTTTTTATTATTATTATTATTTTGTTTAATTAAGCAGTTAATAACAAATAATTATCTTTAATTCATTTATTGTGTTCTCAAAATAAAATAAAATTTATGTGTCTGGTCTTTAAATTACTTTTATTCAAAAAAAATTGTTATGTAAGATATTTCAAATATTATGTTTCCGAGTAGGAAATTGCAAGATCTAACAAAATCAAGAAAAAAAAATTGGGGGTACTATTTAAAAAAATTGTCAATGACGTCACTGCCCAAAAATGGGAGGTGGGGGAAAATTGAATTCTATTTAAAAAATTGCGCTTTGAGTAAACAAAATTGACCTGTCCGAGCATTTTTTCGAAAAACCAACTACTTCCATTATAATAAATTTATTCCATACATTAGAGATATACTGTATATTGTTAATAATATATTCAGGACATACACAGGGCCGCCGAGAGCCAGGCCGGGCCCCAGGACAATTCGCTAGATCGGGCCATGTGACAAAAAAATCTTTAACCAAAAACTGTTCCTCTTCTACTGAAATAGAATTTAAAAGGTCTTTACATCAAAAACTATTCTCCCTTTCAATTACTTCTTCTAAACAAAAAAAAAGTCCTCACCCGAATAAAACTTCTCTAGGCTAAAACTTTTAATTAATTTAAACTTAACTTAACCCCCCCCCTCTCTAGTCGGCCCTGGACATACATTAGTGCGTAATTGTTCAATATTTCAATTTGTGTTATGGACACGTAAATAATTTCTAAATAAAAAGTTATATGAATTTCAAAAATGGGTATTTTAAAGATATTTTTAGACATACATGTGTTTTGCGTTTTTGTCTGACAAATAAAAAGGTATATTTTTTAAATAAAAAACCCTGTATTTTACTTCAGTTTTAGAATGCTGCATGCAATGCTGTAATACTGCATTTAACCCTAGAACTTTATTAACAAATATTGCAGGGTTGCCAATAAATTAATTTTTTTATGAAATTAGAAAATGATGCAGACCCTAAATTAAATTATAATTTAATTTAAAAAAATAGTAATAAGATACTAAGCTAACGAATATGGTGATAGAACTGGATTATTTTATACAGAGTGTTTTGAAAAACAAGTCTTAAATATGGCTAATTCCAAGTTAAATTTATTTAATTGTTTCAAATGCCACACGCTGTATGTTATTTAAACATACAATTCCTTATAAATTTACATATCCAACGATACCAATATGATAGTCAATAACACATGAGTTTTATAATAGGAAATACGAAAAAAAATAATATAAAAGTTGTATGACCATATTTAACAATTATTCATAAATATGCAGTGTGCATTTTTAAAGCAAAACACCCTGCAGGTTGTTATACATATTTGATTGTTTTTACATCGTCGAACAATATTTTCAATTTGATTCATTTGATATGTTGTATATAGAATGTGTCAAAATTTGAGGTTACGATTTTCTCAATTTTTTAAATGTGATACTCTCTATGTTATACCACCAATTAATTAATACAGTGAATTCCATTGAAACAATTAAAAAAATCGTAACCTCGCGCTTTGATACACCCTACATATAACATAGCAAATGAATGAAGTCAATTAAAATTATTTGACAACCTGAAAACAATCAAATATGTATAACTACCTGCAGGGTGTTATTCTCTAACATGTTGGTATTGTTGAACAGGCAAATTTATAAGGAATTGTATGCTAAAATATGTTGCCTTTGAAAAAATTAAGTAAATTAAACCTCAAAGTAGCCATATATAAGACAAGTTTCAAAACACCCGGTATAAAAGAATCCAGCACTATCAACACTATTTGTTATCTTAATGTGCTACAAGTCTGTATATTAAACAATTTTGAAATTAATGTAATCCTACCCAAATTATGATAATTTAATTTGGGGTCTGCATATCATTCTCTAATTTCATAAAAATTTAATTGCTTGGCAAACCTGTAATAGTTTTTTTAAACATTCTAGGCTTGAATACAGTATTACCAAATCATTCTAAAACTGAAATAAAATACATGTTGTTCTATTTAAAAAATATGCCAGGCAAAAATATAACACCCTGTATATCCAAAAATATTTTTAAAATATGTATTTTCTAAATCCATATAACTTTTCTTTGAAACATGTTTGCGTGTCTTTAACACAATTTAAAATATTGAACAATTACGCACTAATGGGACATACACAAGGGTACATATACACATAGCAGTCAACGTGTTAATTCAGAAATAAAGTTCCTTATAAAGATAAAATAACATTCATTAGAAGAAAGCAAATCCCGCAAATATTACGTGCGTACCATACAGTGATGCCAGGTCATTCGGATTCAAATTACATCTCAATGCAATAAAGTTCCTCTCCCGCATTTCACCCACTTTAAAATTAAATTCGCCTGAGAAAAAATTGTGAAATTATCGTATAAATCGATATTTATTGTACATCTGGCAACGTGGCCAATACTTGTTCATACGCAAGGAACACAAATCGATAATTTTGTATCTGGAACGCAAAGCGAGACAAATATATATGAAAATCACGAAACAATAAAAGACGGCATACAGCTGTATCATTGTTTCAAAAATTGGTACCTCTAAACAATCATTTACCTATTAAAACCATCTCTAAAACAGAGTAGCTAGATTTTTTTTACGGTGACATCTTCTTAAAAATAGATGAACTACATGAACTATACACAATTACAGGAATTCATAGAAAATATCTAATTTGACAAATAAATTTATCAAATATTTGTTAATCGTATTTCCAGTTAGATTTGAAAAATACGCAATAAAATTTAGAAATATTTTGGCGGGATACTTGGAAAAATATGTAGAATGAAATCTCCTACTTTTTAGCCTGTGGTTTTAAAATCACTTTTTATGATTTTTTTTAAAATTCAGTGTATAAACAGGACAAATAAAAAATAGGAGATTTCATTCTCCAAACCTTATACTTTAAGCTGGTAGAAGATTCATTTTAATACATTTAGCGGGATTTAAATGCAATCGGAAATGGTGAACCCTTGCTTCTTATATGAAAAATACAGTGATACTGCGCCCTTAAAACTCAAAATACTTCAACAGGTTCATCCTCTTCATCTGATTCAGGTAGGTCAAGACGATATCCTTATTTCCAATAAGCAAATTGTACTCCTGCTGATATTCTGTTGGAATAATCTTCTTTTCACACATTTCCATAATACTTTCATATTTTTTTTGTGGTATTGCCTGGGGTGCACTGTATAGTGGAGGTAAATGCATGTTTCTGGATCCGCGTGTATCCAAGTAAATAAAACTAGAAGCATCTCTTAAAAGGTATTTAAATTGAACTTCATTGGATCCTTTAAGAAATATCATTTGTCTGATATCTAGATATCTAATTATGTTACCAGTGGTGTCTTTCTTAATTTTGTCTGGCCAAAACCTTTTTTGAATAACTTTAAAATCGTAAAAGTCTCTGTGGGTTAGTGTTATAACTTCATAGGGGCGAGGATTTATTCTAGAATTCCTTATCACAGTGGGCCATTCACTAGGCGCCCATACCAGCATTTTTTTAGTGTATACCTCAATAGATCCATGTACACTGTCCACATGCATGTAAGTGTGACCGGGAATTAGAAAGGTTATCTTTATTGAGTTTAGATTTTTAGCAAATTTTAAGAACAGTGCATGCATCGCCATTACAGCTCGATTCTTATTTTGCCCGCTGCAAGAGTCACAGTATAAAGCTATATCTTTCGTATTTCCAGCCTCATCTACAAGTAAAAGGTATTTGTATAAAACGGAACATACTTCATTGCAACGTCTTTTGGCATCACTCTCACTCCATAAGTAACAGTAAGCCTTTCATGTCCCTGCTTCATAAATAGTTTCATTGTAAACTGCATATCGATTATAATAAATTCGCATGTCTAGTTGTCCATGTGGTGTGCTTAATACCTTCTGCATATCAAAACTTGAACACAAAAATCCATCAAAGGTTTGATTTTTTCTGATCAGTAAGGTAAAGCTTCTTGGCTTCCTCTTTTTCATCAATATGAGCTTTGTATTTTTCCTTCTCCTCGTTTGATGCTTTCTCTTTGTTATACCTAATACAAGTATTGCATTTATCTTTTCTTGGAGCGTGGAATCCTATATTAAAATCAACTGTGAATATTTTTCTGAAAACAGATTCACTTACGAAATTGTAATTATTGTCGTGCGTCCAAGTCTTGTACAATCTGTATAATCTTTTAATATTTTTAAATTCAGCTGGCAAGTACTTCTTAGAAGAACTGCTTCTACAATAATGAGATGGTATTGCAGGCAGCATTTAAATATAATTCATAACATGTTCTCGAGTTTCCTCTTTTGTCTTATTTTTTGGTTTTGTATTTTTACCTCTCATATCTTTTTTGGGGGTTCCAATAGCCGTTTTATTTGTACAAAGCCTTCTCATTCGTTTTCCATTTATATATAATGTAGAAAGGAGAAACTGCCTACACACTTTTTCTCTGGTGTTATTTTTTTGCATGGTGTAATTTTTGTTAAAGTCCTTCGGCTTTCGTTTTTCTTGGTGTATTTTCTTTTTATGTTTTGTATACTAACACAAGATAATAGAAATGAATTTTGTTCTTGTGTATTACCAAGCTTCCAGAAATGGTCCAAAATTCCTTGCCTATCTTCTTCTGAAAATTTTGCAGTGCAATTATTTTGACATGATTTACATGGAACTAGTTTAAGGCTTCTGACTGGAACTATTTTCTTCTTTAAAGAACAATACTGTTTGCCTTCTGCGCGTAACTGTTTAGCAGTGTATTCTTTGATTTAATCTCTTTGGTTTTCTTCTGCCATCTTCCCCAATATAGTTTATTTCTCCTTCATCACTTGCAGTACTAGTCTGGTTATTGAACTCGACTTCGTCGACGAAATTAGTATTTGCTATGATAGTCTTTGTTTCTCTGGCCACCTGGATCTCATTAATTTTTACTTCATTTGGTTTCTTATTTATTTCTTTTTTCGTATTCTTATTTACACCGATTTTTTTAACTGCAGCTAAATTTATTATATTATTATCAGTCTCTTTCTCTTTGGTAATAATATCTTGTTCCTTAACTTTTTTTGATTTATTCTTTTTTTTAGTTATAACTTCAGTCAGTCTTTTCTTTTTGGTACATGTTTCTTCATCCTCTTCTGCTTCTTCTAATTTTGTCGATTCAGATTTCATTTCAGGATTGTAACTACTGTCATGAGGGTGAGATTGGTAAGTACGTCTTTTTATTGAAATGTCTTTATTTATATTTACTTCTTCAACAATAATTTCGTTTAAATAAAATTTCGGCTGCTCCAGGGTTGCCACCATTTGGTCAGCAAAATTTAGAAGGTCTTTATCATTAATGGGCATAAAATGTTCAATGTTTTCATCGGTTTCTTCCTTGTCATTGATTCCCTTGCACTTTTCCTTTGTCACTGACAGTTCTTCATTTTTTTCTATCGCTTTATTATTTTCTTCCATATTTTTATCTCTAACCATCAAAACCATTTTCATCGATCTGCTTTTAATGTTTTCCATTGTAAGCTTCAATAAATATTATTCTGTAACAAACTGCAAGGTTTATTTGGGCTCGAATGTATAGTCAAAACTTGAGGCTTTCTTGATTTAACAAACATTATAATGTGAGATATTTAATTATTAACAAATCTGTGAGATATATTCTGAAGGTATACTTAAGGCCTAAGGGCCATTTGCACCGCTATTAGTTAAGAAATAAGTGAAGCTTAAAATGACATTGTTAATGGAAACGTGTCATTTTCAGCTTGGCTTATTTCTTAACGATCGGTGGTGCAAATGGACCTAAGTGGGCTAAAAAAGCGTCAAGCGACGACTATAAATAACAGCATAAAATGTTAATTTTAATTTCTCTCCAACTAAACAATAAGTAACAATAATAAATACCTCAAATAAACACTTTATAGAACGACGGACCTATGCCACAACTATATAATTTTTTTTTTTTATAAAATGGCCTAAATCTCAAATAATTATAACCAAATGGAACCCTCAATCATTCAAAACAAAAAGCCCTTAGCCACATAACCTTCAAAAATGTTCTGTTTATAAAGAAACTAAACACATTTTCACGTTTTATTGCTAGTACTAATTTAAACAGAGTTATCATAATTCAAGAAATTAAGTTGTACTTACCTTTTAATTTATATTTGTCATATGTATTGAACAATTTACAAAAACTTTCATAACGCTTCAACTAATTATCACAGAAAAGTAACCTGTTAGATTTTAATTTTCAATACAATGTCACTAAACGATGTTGCCAACTAGAAATGTTAAATACCCTATAATTTTAAAGATTTTAAACAGTAAAAACATAATTTGTGGTTTAGGTCTTTTTGCACTATTCTGTCCTTAAGAAACTGTTGATTAGGCCTTGTTTTCATAAACATTATACCTAAACAGATGATCCATTTTTCAGACAATTTTTTTTATTGCGGCTTAGGTTATCAATTGTGTTAATTTCAGCTGTACCTAATTTCAGAGAGGCTTAGGTCCTAGTGTAATAAAATGAGGCTTCCTTTCTTTTTATACTAAAACAAAAATTGTAATTTCGGGTAAAGTGTGGGTTAGGGCCTTTTGCCGTTTAACCGTCGATATTACCAGGCACCCAAAACTATTAGCGGCAAAATTTTCTCCAGATTTCACCCAGAAAGATGCCCAGGGATTATTAGTTGTGTAGGTGCTAGAAAGGACTGGAAGTCATGGAGAAAGGTTGGTATTTATAAATATATTAGGTATAACTTGTTTCATAACTCTAAAAATATAAATGTTTTAGACCTGGCAAGATATTAGATGTACAAAATCTAAGACCAGTGAGTTGAGAAGACTGCGTACGGCAACTGGAGGTGGACCTCACACAAATACTCAAATTTCCACATATGAGGATAAAGTATTAGAAACTATTTCTGTGGTAGCTATTGAAGGTCACACAAATGTGAAAGAGTCTGATACCGAATTCGAACATCAGGAGACAAATTGTGTTGATAATGTTATCATTGAATATCCTGAAACTCCAACATGCTCAAATGTTGAAATCGCAGAAACTTCTGCAAAAAAGCTCGCAGAAAATGAAAAGGTCATAAAAAACTCTTTTCCTAGGGAACCAAGGAAAAAGTTAATTTATGCTTCTCAAGCGACTCGCCATTATAAAGAGTCACTTGACAATAAAAATAATTTAAAATACAAGTATTATGATAAAAAAATTATTGTATCAGAGCGCATTGCATGTGCATTAGAAAGAATTGCAGATGCTAAAGAAGCATCTGTAAAAGTGGAACAAGATATTGCACTTTCTAAACAAAAAAGTGCAGAAGCAAAAGTTGGTATTGCTCAAAATATAGGCACCTTGGCACATGCAGTAGAATCACTGCACGATTCCATATCTTAATGTAGTGTTTGTTTATATAAGGTCTGTTCCAACACACACGAAAACGATAATACAAATCATGCGCTGTATACAATTTTTGTATAGAGTGCATGATTTGTACCATATTACAGGTTTTCGTGTATGTTGGAACAAACCTATTGTAAATATAGTTGTTTCTGTTTATATTTTTCCAAATTTTGTTTCCTTAATGTAATGCTTGTTTATATTGTAAATACTCCTATTTTTATTTATATTTTTCCCAATTTTATTGATTTTCTTTATGTAGTTGTATTTTTGTGTAATTTTTCCCCATGTTAGTGATTTGTTTTTAAACCTAAAAATCATTTAGTATTAATAGTTTAAAAATATATATGTATTTCTCATACTTTTATCATCTGTTTGTATTGTACATAATTTATTTCTGCATTAAAATATTTAAGGTAACAAAAACTACGGTGTACATACTATTATTAATTAGTTAGATCAATAATAAACTTCCTCCATTAGAGTAGGGTATGTAATGTGGGTTACAATATTTTGTAGCACATATAAATAAAATAGCAATATTTTATATTTTTATTGAAATAAAAAATGTTGATTGTAATATATCTATACAACACTTGTTTTATTTGGAAATTAATATTCATAATTACGCTTAGTGCAAAAAAAAATAATTAAAAAAATAATTAATTAATCTTGCTCGTCTTCCAGCTCTTAACTCGGGATTAATCCTTTGTGCTGGATTATCTTCCTCCTCATCGACATCATTATTATTTAAAATGCCCATATCAATATCAACTATTTCCTCATCTACTAGTGGCACATTGTATTCTATACACATATTGTGTAATATGACACATGCATTTATTATTTGGCATGCTACATCAGGTTTGTAATGCAATACTCTATCTTTACATAAACATCTGAACCTCACCTTTAAAACCCCATTACACCTTTCTATTGCATTTCTTGTTGATCTTTGGGCCTTGTTATAATTATATTCTGGGGTTTCTGCTGGTGGTTCATAATCCAATGGTGTGAGCAGCCAAGTTCTTAAAGGATACCCACTGTCACCCAACAGGGGGTCAATTCTCGACTTTTATTCCCATGGGAAAATAAAATTTTCCCATGGGAATTCAGTTTTCGTATTCTCGACATAATCGGTGGAATATTTTCCAATGAGAAGTGTGGGAAAATATTCCCCTGCTTACGAGCATTGGAAATTGTGTTTTCCAATGGGAATTGTACTAGAGTTTGCGCATT